GAGGGCCGAAGGGCCTGTACTGCGCTGTAATGTTCTATGTTCTATGTAAATTGCGGGCACCCTGGCTGATATATTTGCATCATCGTTAGCCGTGGGTGAGATCTCGGAAGACTGGATGGTAGCAAATGTTGTGCCCTTATTCAAGAATGGCAGTAATGAAAATCCTGGGAACTATAGACCAGTAAGCCTAACATCTGTGTTAGGTAAGTTACTTAAGATGATTCTGAGGGATAAAAGATACATGCATATAGAAAGACAGGATTTGATTAGGAATAGTCACTATGGCTTTGTGCGTGGAGATCATGCCTCACAAATTTGTTAAAGTTCTTTGATGAAGTGACCAGGAAGGGTTACGAGAGCAGTGGACATAGACTATATGGTTTTCAGTAAGGTCTTTGATGAGGTTCCATATGGTAGGCTGCTCTGGAAGGTTAGGTTGCATGGAGTCCAAGAAGAGCTGACAAATTGGATACACAATTGGCTTGATGGTAGGAAGCAGACAGTGATAGTGGAAGGATGCTTGTCTGACTGGCAGCCTGTGACTAGTTGGGTGTCTCAGGGATCGGTGCTGGGCCCATTGCTGTTTGTTATCTATACCAATGATTTGGATGAGAATGCACAAGGCATGATTAGTAAGTTTGCAGATGACACTAAAATAGGCGGCATCGTGAACAGTGAGGAAGGTTATCAGAAATTGCAGCAGGATCTTGATCAGTTGGGGAAGTGGGTTGAGAAATGGCAAATGGAATTTAATATAGACAAGTGTGAGGTGTTGCATTTTGGAAAGTCAAATCCAAGTAAGAGTTTCATGGTGAATGGTAGGGCCTTAAGGAGTGGAGTGGAACAGAGTGACCTTCGAGTTCAGGTGCATGGTTCTCTGAAAGTGGAGTTCCAGGTAGACAGAGCAGTGAAGATAACTTTTGGCACACTGGCTTAAATCAGTCAGGGTTATGCGGTACAGAAGTTGGGAAATTATGATGCAATTGTACATGACGTTGACGAGGCCGCACTTGGAGTATTGTGTTCAGTTTTGGTCACCTTCCTGTAGAAAGTATGTTATTAAACTGGAAAGAGTGCAGAAGAAATTTACAAGGATGTTGCCAGGACTGAGTTATCATGAGGTTGGACAAGCTAGGACTTTTTTCTTTAGAGTGTAGGTATCTGAGGGGGGGAAACTTATAGAAGTGTATAAGATCATGAGAGGTATAGATAGGGTGAATGCACTCAGTATTTTTCCCAGCGTTGGGGAATCAAGGACTAGAGGCCATCAGTTTAAGGTAAGAGGGGAAAGAATACATGAGAACCTGAGGGGCAACTTTTTTTTTTTTTTTACACAGAGGGTGGTACACACATGGAATGAGCTGCCAGCGGAAGTGGTTGAGGCGGTATGTTAACATTTAAAAGGCATTTGGATAAACACATGGATAGGAAAGATTTAGAAGGATATGGCCAAGTGCAGGGAAATAGGGTTCGTGTGGATGGACATTTTGGTCGGCATGGACCATTTTGGGCCGAAGGGACTGTCTCCATGCTGTAGGACTCAATGACTCTAAGAGAAACTGAGAGCATACTCAAAAAGAAAAGGGAAGTATATGTAAAGTTTGGGAAACTGAAGACAGGCAGAGCCCTCAAAGAATACAAAGGTAGCAGGAAAGAACTCAAACAAGGAATTACAAGGGCTAAAAGGAGCCATGAAATGACTTTGGCAAACGGGATTAAGGGAAATCTCAAGGCGTTTTATATGTATATAAGGAGCAAGAAGATAGCTCCAGAAAGGATAGACACACTCAATGAAAGAAAAGGGTATTTATGCGTAGAGCCTGAGGAAGTCAGTGAGGTCTACAATGAATAATTTGCATCATTATTCACAAAGGAGAAGGACAGAGTCAGAGACTCATACAGCATGGAAATAGGCCCTTCAGCACAACTCACCCATGACGACCAGATTTCCTAAACTGAACTAGTCCCCTTTTTGCCTGATTTGGCCCACATCCCTCTAAAACTTTCCTATCCATGTACCTGTCCAAACGTTTTACAAATGTTACAATTGAACCTGGCTCTACCACTTCCTCTGGTAGCTTGTTCCACATACGAACCATGTGAAAAAGTTGCCCCACCCCTGCAGGTCCATTTTAAATCTTTCCCCTCTCTTTTCTGAACCCTCTCCAATTTAATAATATCCTTCCCATAGCAGGGTGACCAGAACTGCACACAGTACTCTAGAAGAGACCTCACTAACATCCTGTACAACATCAACATGACGTCCCAACTCCTATACACAAAGGTCTGAACAATGAAGGCAAGTATGCTCAACGCCTTCTTAACCACCCTGTGACGCAAATATCAAAGAATTATGTACCTGAGCCCCTCGCACTCTATTCTACAACATTACCCAGGACCCTACCATTAATTGTAAAAGTCCTGCCCATGTTTGTTTTCCCAAAATATAATACCTCCATCTGCCATTCTTCAGTCAATTGGCTCAACTGATCACGATCTCATTGTACTCTTAGACAACCTACTTCACTGTCCATTTTACTACCAATCTTGATGTATTTCGCAAGCTTACTAACCATGTCTTCTAAATTCTCATCCAAATCACTTATATGCAGTATTCCAAAAGTGGCCTCACCAATGTCCTGTACAGCCATAAAATGATGCCCCAACTCCTGTAGTCAATGTACTGACCAATGAAGGCAAGTATGCCAAACGCCTTCTTTACTACCCTGTCTACGTGTGATTTCACTTCAAGAAACTATGCATCTTGGTCTGCCCTGATTTGGTGTCATCTGCAAACTTACTAACTACACATCCTACATTCAGATCCAAATCATTTATACAAATGGACCATGTTGGCCTCAACAGCTTTCTGTGGTTATACACTCCACACACTCACTGCTCTCTGGGTGAAGACATTTCTCATCTTTGTCCAAAATGGTTGACCTGTATCCTTAGACCGTGACACCTGATTTTGGACGCTCTGATCATCAGGAATATCCTTCCCACATCTACTCTGTCTAGTACTCTCAGCATTTTACAGGTTTGAGAGCCCCATCAATCTTCTCCCAGCAAATATAATCCTGACCTTTCAATCACTCCTCATACATCAGTCATGCCATCCCAGGAGTCAGTGGTAAACCGTCAATGCATTCCCTCCATCACCAGAACATCTTTCCCCAGATAAGGAGACCAAAACTACACACAATACTCCAGGTGTTGTCTCACCAAGGCCCAGTACAATTGTAGCAAGACATCCCTACTCCTGCACTTGAATCCTCTCACTGTAAAGGCCAATATAACATTTGCCTTCTTTACTGTCTCTGCATCTACATGCTTACCTTCAGTGAGTGATCTAAGAGGGTACCCAGCTCTCATTACATCTTCCCCTTTCCCAATCTATCACCATTCAGATAATAATCTGCCTTCCTGCTTTGGCTCCCCAAGTGTATGGCCTCACATTACACTCTGCCAAATATCTGCCCATTGACTCAGCCTATCCAAATCACACTGAAGCATCCTCCTCACAGGAGTTCACTCCCTCCTTATGCTAAACATGTGTTTCGTAGATGTGTACAATCAACATCGCCATCTCTGACACTGTAAAGCCTTCCATTTTTGAAGCTTTTCTCTTATTACCTTCAAAGCCATTCAGGAATTATTTCCTTCTGCCCTGACATTTTAGGCAATTACCAACCATTACTGCTTCTTATATAAGCCAATTCTCTCTGAATAACATGCTTTTCACTGATTAAAATTAGCATGCAGCATGTTTTTTTAAAAAAATAAACGGATTTCTCACCAGTTTAGATTTTTTTCCAATAGATTCCCTGCCTTGGTTGTTGGGCTCATTGGCCTGTAGTTCTGATTTATCCTAACAATTCTTCTCAAATAATGATAACACATTAGTTCTCCAGCTCCCTGGCATCCCTCCTGTCACCAGAAAGGATTTGAAAATTAATTCAGGTCCCTGCAATTTCTCCTTTGCCTCTCACAGCAGCTTGGGACACATCTCATTTGGTCCTGGTGATCTAACTGCTTTAAGGTCAGCCAAGCCTTTGAATATCACTTCCCTCTCAATGCTAATTTATTCCCGTTCATCACAGTCCCCATCCCTGATTTCTACACCTACATCATCCTTCCCTACAGTGAGTACTGATGCAAAGTACTCATTAGCACCTCAGCTATGTCTTCCAGCTCCAAACTGATACTTCAGGCCTAGTTATTTCTGTTGGTTCTCTCTTTACACCTTACACATGCATAAAACACCTTTGGATTTTCCTTTATTTTGTTAACGAGCGTTTTTTCATGTTCTCTCTTTGTGCTCTGAATTTCATCTTTACTTAATTTCCTGGACTCTCTATGTTCTTCTAGGGCACTACTATTGAGATTCACAGTTGTGAAAAAGTGTCAGTGGATTCAAAACATTAACCGTTTTCTCTCCACATATGCTATCACACAGCAGAGTTTCTCCAGTAATTCATGGTTTTGTTGGTTCCAGCCTATTTAGTCCCTCGTCATTGCTGAATCACTCCATCTTGGCAACAACCTCTGCACTGTCTCTAATGCAATCACATCCTTCCTAGTGTGATGACCAGAACTGCACACAGTACTCCAGGTGTGACCTAACCAATGTTATACGCAGCTCCAACATAACCTCCCTGCTCTTGTATTCAATGCCCTAATTAATAAAGGCAGATCTCCCATATGCCTTCTTAAACACCTTATCAAAGTGTCCTGTTGACTTCAAAGATCTGTGGACATGCACGTCAAGGTCTCTGTGATCCTCTGTATTTCCTAGGGTCCTTTAGTATTTCACTTCAAAGTATCTGTAAATCAAATGATTAAAGACTGGTATCTGTGATGGTGAGGCCCGTCTGGAGGAGGACAAGATGGATCATCCACATGGTTCTTCCGCCTAATACTGTTACAAAATGCATCAGCTTGAGCTCTTCCATCATTGAGGATGGGGATATTTGTGGAGCCTCCTCCTCCAGTGAGTTGTTTGACTGTCCACCACCATTCACGACGGGATGTGGCAGGACTGCAGGATGTAGATCTGATCTGTTGGTTGTGGGATCGCTCAACTCTGTCTGTTATTTGTTTGAATCAAATATCCCCAACCCAAGAATTGGGGGGTAAAAGCCCTAAGAGTGACAAAGTGACGACTGCACGTTAAACTGTGTCTATATGTACGTGTACAGGCACAAGTCCCCATAGGGCCTAATACAGAGCTGGATGCCAGCAACCAAGACAAACCAATTCCTCACCAGTACTTCCAGTTCATTGCTGCCAAGATCTAACTCCTCCAGCTTCACCAGGAAAGATAGGGACCTGCAGGACAAACAAAACAATCGTAACTAAGAAAAGGGAATGGTGCCAGCGTCTTATCAGACTGTAGGGCTTCTCTCTCAGAGCGACAATTGGTGATGGGTTAACCCGAGGGTCACCATGCCTCAGGCAAGGGGAGAGGTTGAGAAGGAGAGTTCCCTTTGCTACTGTGGGAATTGAACCCATGATGTTGGTATCACTCTGCATCACAAACCAGGCATCCAGCCCGATAAGCTAAACCATTCCTCATAACTAATTGGGACCCTGAGACGGTTGGGGGGTGGGGCCAACGCCCCTTGGGACCCTGAGACGGGGGGGGTGGGGGGCCAACGCCCCTTGGGTCCCCGAGATGGGGTGGGAGCCGACGACCCTTGGGACCCCGAGACAGGTAGCAGAAATCCAAAGAGATTATCAGGCAAAGATGGAGCACAATCAAGACTGGGGTCAGTTCTGGCCAGGGGCAGAGCCCAGTGGAGAACAGAGATCCCAAAGCAGAAACAGGTGAGACAGGGAGAGGATGGGTCCAAGAGGGAATGGGGAGAAAAAGAGAGAGAGAGGGGGGGGGGGGGGGGGGGGGGGGTGGGGGGGGTGTGGGAATGGGGTGGTAGAACGAGAAATCCTCAAATGACATTTGCAAAGTTGTATTCGCCCATTACAGGAAGGATGTGGAGGCTTTGGAAACGATCCAGAAGAGGTTTACCAGGAAGCTGCCTGGATTAGAGGGTATGAGCTATAAGGAGAGGCTAGGAAAGCTCGAGTTGTTTTCTCCGGAGCAGTGGAGGCTCAGGGAGACTTGATAAACGTCTATAAAATTATGCGATGTGTAGGTAGGGTTGGAAGTCAATCTTTTTCCCCCCAAGAGTTGAGGTGTCTAATACTAGGGGGCATGCATTTAAGTTAGTGGGGGGAGTTGAAAGGAGATGTGAGGGGCAAGTTTTTTTTAACACAGAGAATGGTAGGAGTCTAGAACACACTGCCAGGAGTGGTGGTGGAGGCAGATACAATAGGCACATTTCAGGGACTTTTACATAAATATGCAAAGAATGGAGGGATATGGACTAAGGGCAGGCAAAAGGGATTAGTTTAATTTGGCATCATGTTCGGTGTAACATCTTGGGCCATAGGACCCGTTCCTGTGCAACATGGCTCTATGTTCTAAAGTATTTGGATTTATATTTGAAGAGCCATAACCGTCAGTGCTAAAGACCAATACCGAAAAGTGCAATCAGGCTGAATGGCTACTTGTCAGAGTCATACAGCATGGAAACAGGCCCTTCAATCCAACCAGTCCATGCCGACCATAATCCCAAACTAAACTAGTCCCACATCCTTCCAAACATTTCTTATTCATGAACTTATCCAAACACCTTTTAAACGTTGTAACTGTACCTGCATCCACCACTTCTTCTGGAAGTTCATTCCACACTTTAAACACTGTAAAAAAAAGTTGCTCTTCATGTCCATTTTTAAATCTTTCTCCTCCCACCATAAAAATATGCCCCCTAGTCTTGAAATCCTCCATCTTAAGGAAAAGACATTTGCCATTCACCTCATGTATATCCCTCATGATTTTATCAACCTCTATAAGGTCACCAGTATAGACACACTGGACTAAATGGCCTCATGTCCTCTACTCTAGTGGGATAACTAGGGTCAAAACTTCAAGACTGTCAGCAAAAGAGCTAAGAGTGAGATGAGGGGGAAACTTCTTTACTCAAGAGTTGCTAGAATTTGGAATGCGCTTCCTGGGAGAGTGGTGGAGATGGATTCCACAGGAGGTTTCAGAAGAGAACTGGATTTATATTGGAAAGGATAAAGTTAGAGGGTTACAGAGATAGGGCTAGAGAATGGGATGAGCTGAGTGGCTCTTTCAGAAGCCAGTACAGGCAAGATGGGTCGAATAGCCTCCTTCTGTACTGTAAACTTCTGTGATTCTAACCTCAATTTTGCTTGACGGGAAACTCCTACAACTTCACAAGGTCCTTACAGATGCACAGGAGCTGACATGCAGCATCAGGAAGTTCTCCAAATCTCTCAGCTAACATATCTTCTAACTCACCACCAACAGCATGATTATTTTAGCATTTGCCAACATTGCCTGGGAGTTTGCTCTGAACAAATAAGCTGCTTAATTTGAATAGGGAACTGCATTTCACAAAGTACCTCTGTTTGTGAAACTCTTTGGGATTAGTGGGGGAAAGGAATAATTCCATCAGCTGCACTCACCACGATGACAATAAACTAACCCCAATTAATGTAAGAACAGACGTCTGCACACTGTTCATGTCAATGGCTCTCTCTGCAAACACTGAAGGGCTTGCTCATATGTGAAGGGGTCCCAGCAGCTGCACGATAGTGGGTAAGGAACCTGAAAGGAGTGGGAGAAAGGAGGTAACAGACTTTCACCCATTAACAGGGAAAGGCTGGAAAAGCCAACACATAGCAGCAAGCACCGAGAGAGTCTAGCAATCCAGTGCGTGTTACATGAAAGTTATTAAAGAGCCACTCACGTTGGCAGTGTCTTCAACAAGTTCTCTCGAAGTTCCAGTGTCACCAGGTTGGCCAAGCTACAAAACAACAGATATAAGTAAGAACAATGTTTTCGACCTGAATGAAGGTAATTGTGTGCGAAGGCACAGCTCACTCCGTGTGTTGGGTAATTATGTTAAAAGGCAGGACAATGGAAATGCCATTATACAAACGCTCCAGACAATTTTTTTAAAATAATTATCAGCAAAGATTTATCTCAGTGATTAAGAAACTGTGTAGGGCACATTGTCTGTGGTCACATAGAGAAATTAATGCTGGTACTAAATTAAAAGCAGCACTACACAAATCAGCAAAGACTAATGATTGATCAGACGTGGACAGACTTCTAAGACTACCAAAACAATTTCACAAAATATTCCTTCAACAGCACTTTCCAAGCCAGTACCATCTAGAAGGACAACAGCAGCAAATATAAGGGAATACCATCATCTGCAAGTTCCCCTCCATTCTAACACTAATCCTCATTACTGGAGTTTAAAATAATATCAGGTGATCTTATTGAAAAATTAATCATCTTGAAAAGGACTGGATCGTGTGGATACCGTGAGGATGTTTCCTCTTGAAGGGAAGACTAAAACTCACGAGCAAAAACAAAAAGGTCTCCTATTAAGATGGAGATGACAGTTTCTCTCCGAGGGTCACCAGTCTGTAGAATTCTCCAGACAGCACTGGAGACTGAACTATCAAGGTCATGTTAGCAAGAGTTTTGTTTGGCAGAGGAGCTGAGCTTACTTGGGGATCAGGCAGGAAGTGGAATGAGATCACAATTAGATCAGCTGGGATCTTAATGGCACTGGTCAGAAATCACAACACCAGGTTATGGTCCAACAGGTTGATTTGAAATCACAAGCTTTCGAAGCTCTGCTCCTTCACCAGGTGGAGTGAAGAGAAGCACACAGCTACACAATTTACAGGCAGAGAGATCAAAAGATCATACAAATGGTGTGACTGGAGTGTCGACAGGTTGAATAATGAGTCTCTGCAGGTGACCAAAAGTGTCAGATGGTGTCAGTAAAGCATCAATAACTGAATAACAAGTGAAGGGATAACCTATAAACTGGTTAATTCAGGAAGAGATAACTACAAAAAAATTAAAAATAAGGGGGTGCTGGAAATAAATCAAATTGCTGGAATAACATGATAGGTACAAGTGCTGCATGCCAATGGCATTGAACATTGGAATGTGCTTGAGGGACCAAATGGTCTGCTGCTCCTCCTATTTCGTATGTTTATATATTCTTTTGGAGTGGTAAGGCAGACACAATGGCCCACCTAATGGCTTCCGCAGGCCAATGTGGCTATGTTGCAAGAAAGTGAACACTGACAGACATGTCACCCCCATTCCTAACCCTCCACTCCTGCCACAGAGGCGCCCTGGCCAGGCTGCCTCAAAACCAGCTCTCAGTCTATTTTCAATACACCGCCATCTGTATTTGTCACCAAATCTTGTATTCACTTACTTCCCAATGTCATTTGGCAGAGACTGTAGGGAGACATCATTGAGGGAGAGGTGTGCAAGGATTCGGAGCTGGGTGAACCCATCAGGCAGCCTGCAAGACAAACAACATGAACATCAGGTGAGGGGATTGCTGTAGGGACAGGTAGTGATTGCTGCGAGATAGACAGACCTTTGATAACAGTGAGGTTGAGGGCTGACAGAGCAAAGTGGACTTGAAACCATAAGAAGATTAACCATAATCTCATTGGATTATTTGACGTGAAAATGCCAAACAGCTTCAGACTCCACTCACAGGAGTTTAGAAGAATGAGAGGTGATCTCATTGAAACATATCGGAATCTTAAGGAACAAAAACAGAAGTTGCTGGAAAAGCTCAGCAGGTCTGGCAGCATCTGTGAAGAAAAAATCAGAGTTAACGTTTCGGGTCCAGTGACTGTTCCTCACATTTTTCTTCACAGATGCTGCCAGACCTGCTGAGCTTTTCCAGCAACTTTTGTTTTTGTTCCTGATTTATAGCATCCGCAGTTCTTTCGGATTCTTAAGGGGCTTGACAGGGTAAATGCTAAGAGGATGCCTACCCTCATGGTAGAGTCTAGGATTAGAAGGCACAGTCTCAGAATAAAGGGACACCAATTTAAAACTGGTCTAAGGAGAAACTCCTTGCCATGGGGGCACAGAACTTGTGCACATTTCAGGTTGAGATTAATAGGTTCTCGATCAGTCGGGGAGTCCAGGGTTATGGAGTAAGGGCAGGAAAGTGAACGTGAAGAGTGTTGGATCAGCCAAGATCCAAGGTTCAAGGGGTCAAATGGCCTTATCCAGCACCACAGCCAGGCCACATGCATCTTCAAGGATTTATTCTTCCTACCCTCCCCAGGCACACAAATAGAGGCAGATCCCTCCCCAAGCACAAAAATATGCACACACAAACACACACCCCCAGGGGGGCAAATAGAGAAATGGCCCCTCCAACATCTCCTTCCCTAGGTACACAGGGAGACAGACCCACCAACCACTCCTCCCGAGGTACACAGACACAAACCCACCCACCGCTTCCTCAGGTACACAGAAAAACAGACACCCCCGTCACTCCTCCCCCAGGCACACAGAGAGGCAGACCCACCCACCACTCCTTCTCAAGGCACACAGACCCATTTGCCACTCCTCCACCAGAGAGGCAAGAGACACAGACCACACTTCATTTATGAATATGAGGGATTGGACCAAAGGGTCTGTTTCAATGCAGTATGACTCTATAAGTTTAAGGAGTTTGATACAGCATTGGGACGATAAGGATCAAGGGGCATGGGGAGAAAGCAGGAACAGGGTACTGAATTGGAAAATCAGCCATGATCATTATAAATAGCAGAGAAAGCTCAGGAGGGTGAATGGCACACTCCAACTTCTATTTGCTACATTTCTAACCCTTTGATATTTCTGGAACATGTCACTGTACCTGGAAAGGGGGTTCCCACTGAAATCAGCTATTTCTAGAGACTTGCAGAATTTAATACTTTCAGGAATTTCAGGGATATCTGTGGAGACAAAAGAAATGAAAAGCTCATAACATTGTTATCTGTCCAGCCAAACGCTGCCACAGTTAGAAAATCTTAATAAAAATAATTTAAAAGTCAACATAACTTTGTAAAAAGGAAATCACGTTTGACTAAATCATTCGAGTTCTCTAAGAAAGTAAGAAGCAAGGTGGATCAAAGAAAATCTGACAATGTGGTGTACTTGGATTTCCTGAAGGTATCTGATAAGGTGCCACCACAATAGCCATGAGATCACATACTCACTAACCTGTTTCAGAACAGCTACACTGGCATCTACCCGACAAGTAGGGCAAATTGCCCAGGTATGCCCGGTACACAAAAAACAACAAACTAACCCATACAAATTTGCCCCATCAGTCTACTCTCGATCATCAGTGAAGTGATGGAAGGTGTCAACAACAATGCTATCAAGCAGCACCTGTTCAGCAGTGCTGAAAAAGCCGAGCAGATCTGGCTGCATTTATAAGGGGAGACACAGAGTTAACGTTTCTGGTACGGTATGACTTGTTGGAGGTCAGTCATCTCAGGTCCAGGACATCACTGCAGGAATTTCTCAGGATAGTGTCCTAGGCCCAACCATCTTCAGCTGCTTCATCAATGATGCTCCCTCCATCGTAAGGTCAGAAGTGGGGAATGTTCATCAATGACCACACAATGCTCAGCACCATTCGCAACTCTTCAGATATTGAGCAAAAACAGCATCCGCGGTTCTTTCATAAGAACATAAGAACTAGGAGCAGGAATAGGCCATCTGGCCCCTTGAGCCTGCCCTGCCATTTAATAAGATCATGGCTGATCTTTGAGACTTAGCTCCACTTATCCGCTCACTCACCATAACCCTTAATTCCTTTACTGTTCAAAAATTTATCTAGCCTTGCCTTAAAAACATTCAGCGAGGTAGCTTCAACCGCTTCACTGGGCAGGGTACATTGATTCAGACATTGAAGCAGCACATATCCAAATGCAGAAAGATTTGGGCAATATTCAGGTCTGAGCTGATGTATAGCAAGTAATATTTGCACCACACAACAGCCAGGCAATGACCATTACCAAGAGAATCTAACTACTGCCTCTTGACATTCAAAGGCATTACCATCACTGACACCCCACCCCAACCATCATCAACATTCTTTGGGTTACCACTTACCAGAAACTGAACCAGGCTAGCCATACAAACGCAGTGGCTACAAGCAGCTCAGAAACAAGGAATACTTAGACCATAAAACATAGGAGTAGAAGTAGGCCATTCAGCCTATCAGGTCTGTTCTGCCATTCAATGAGATCATGGCACATCTGCTTATCTTCAACTAGGGTGGCACAGTGGCTCAGTGGTTAGCATTGCTGCCTCACGGCGCCAGGGACCCGGGTTCAATTCCGCCCTCGGGCAACTGTCTGTGTGGAGTTTGCACATTCTCCGTGTCTGTATGGGTTTCCTCTGGGTGCTCTGGTTTCCTCCCACAGTCCAAAGATGTACAGGGTAGGTGGGCTGGCCATGCTCAATTGCCCGTAGTAGTGTTCAGGGATGTGTAGATTAAGTGGGTTATTGGGAGATGAGTCTGGGTGGGATGCTCTGAGGGTCGGTGTGGACTTGTTGGGCCAAAGGACCTGTTTACACACTGTGGGGATTCTATGACCCACTTTCCTGTCTTTCCCAATAACCCTTGATTCCTTTACAGATTAGTGATCTATCTCAACCTTGAATATACTTAATTAACCAGCCTTGACTGTCCTTTATGGTAAAGGATTCCACAGACTCATCATTCTCAGAAAGAGGAAATTCCTCCATATCTGTCTAAAATGGGTGATCTCCTGTGGGACAGTCTGGGACCAGAGGGCTTAATTTTTAAAAGGGTAAAAACCTTTCCACAGATACCCTATCAAGTCCCCAAGAATGTTTTAGGTTTCAATAAAGTCACCTGTAATTCATCTAAACTTCAATGAGTACAGGCCCAACTACTCCATCTCTCCTTATAAGACAGTCCCTCATTATGGCTAGCCCATCTTGTAAACCCCCAAAGCCTGTCTACAGACACAAGAAGGGCAGACAAAAAGGTAAAGAAGGTAAAGCAACATTGAGAGGAAGGATATTAGCTCAGAAAGTCATTACACGAAATCTGCATCGGTGGAAGTAAGAAATATCAAGGGACAAAAAAACGGTGGGGATGTCGAGAGGCCCTCAAACAGTAGTGGAGATATGATGGAAGATACTAAACAAGAAATCAAAGATGCATGCAGTAAGGGTACCACTGCATTAATGGTGACCTTAACTGACATACAGATCAGACAAACAAAACTAACAAGGATATTGTGGAGCAGGATTTCCTGGCATGTGTCAGATGATTTGTTTAGACAAAACAGTGAGGAACCATCCTGAGAACAGGATATTCCAGACTTGCTACCGTACAATGAGAAAGGATCAATTAACAATCTTTTTGTATGGGGTTTCTTGAGGATGTCTGACCACAATACAATAGAATTCATCATGATGGAGAGTGAAGTGGTCAAATCTGAAATCAGGCTCCTTTATCGAAATAAAGGGAGCTATGAGTGTATGAAGCAAAAACTGGCAAGGAAGGATCGGGGAACCTCAGTAAAGGGATGATGGTGGAACACACACACGAATTACACAATTATTCATTCATGATGGGTACAAAAAAAGGGAAAGGGGCTCATGGCTTACGGAAGAAATTAACGATGATATTGCATCCAAAGAGGAGATGTATAAAGTTGAACAAAAAGCAGGAACTGGGGTGCATGGGACTAGGGGCAGACCTGCACATGGGCACACCGACGACCCCCATGCCCAGCAGACTGGCACGCGGGCACACAGATACCCCTCCCTGGCAGACTAATGCAAGACACATACCGACCCTGGGAGACTAGCGCACAGGCACCCTGATAGAAGGAGACTAGCGTATGTGCGTACGAACACCAACAACAATGTTCCAAATGCAGTCTAACCAGAGCCTGATGCAACCTCAACAGAACTCATCTCTATTCTTGTATTCTAGCCTTCTCAAAATGAACGCTAACTTTGCATTTGCCTTCCCAACTGCCAGCTGAACCTACACATTAACCATAAGAGAACCATGATTCCCAAGTCCTTTTGTGCTTAAGATTTCCGAAATCTTTCCATGTATAGAAAATAGTCTATGCCTCTATTCTTCCTACCAAAGCGCATAACCTCACACTCTCCCATATTTTATTTCACCTGCCACTTCTCTGCCCACTCACCTAGCTTGTTCAAGTCCTCTGCAACCTGCCCACTTTGTCAATACTACCTGTCTCTCCATCCAACTTTGTGTCATCTGCAAACTTCACAACAATGCTTTCAGTCCCTTTATTCAGATTGTTAATGTATAACGTGAATAGCTGTGGTCCCAACAGTGACCCCTGTAGAACTCTACTAGTCACTACCGGCCATCCTAAAAAAGATCCTTTTATCCCCACTGTCCGCCTTCTGCCAATCGGCCAATCCTCTATCTGTGCCAGTACCGTTCACCCATACACCACAGGCTCATCTTTTTTCTATGCACCTGTGGGATGCGAGAGTCGGCAGCTGGCCAGCATTTATTACCCATTCCTTATTTCCTTCATAATGGACTCTAAGATCTTATTAAAGACTGAAGTGAGGCTAACAGTACAATAATTTCATCTTACAAACAAAGACAGAAATTGCTGGAAAATCTCAGCAGGTATGGCAGCATCTGTGAAGAGAAATCAGAGTTCATACTTCAGGTCCAGTGAGCTTGCTTCAGAAGGCTTCCCAATCCTCTGGGTTCCCATTAATCTTTGCCACATTGTATGTTTTTTCTTGTGTTTTTATGCTGTCCCTGACTTCCCTTGTCAGCCATGGTTTCCTCGTCCTTCCTCAATATGTTTGTTGATACCTGGGATAACATTTTGCTGTGCCTCCCAAATTACCCCCAGAAACTCCTGCTCTTGCTGCTCCACCACCTAAGCTCCCCTTCCAATCAACACCCTGTGGACAAAGGCCACAAACCTTCCTGGTTTTCCCTTCCACCCATACCACCAATGCTTTTTTGACTGTCTGTATGCTTGTGTGGGGGAGTTATACAAAGAGGTAAGTATTTTATCTACTGGAGTTAAACGCCAACCATTAATAGTTATTTTTTATTCATTTTGTGGGATGTGGGCGTTGCTGGCTGGTTTGCATTTAGTGCCCATCAGGAATGAAAACAAAAGTTGCTGGAAAAGCTCAGTAGGTCTGGCAGCATCTGTGAAGAAAAAAATCAGAGTTAACATTTTGGGTCCGGTGACCCTTCCTCAGAGCCCATCCCTAGTTCGTCTGCAGTCAGAAACCATTTATAATGACTATTCATTAAGTACAGAAACCTGACCTGTGTTTGCTTTTCACCTGGTTCTAAATAGATCGATGAATTCAGGAATTTTATGTAATTTGATAAAATCTTGAAGTCTTGAGATGACTTAGGGAGAACTCGATTTCCAGTATGCTATCCCAATGAGATGTAGCAACACACAAACAGACACAGCCCCCAAACTGGCACATGCATACAGAGCCACACATGCTGTCACAGAGGCACATGTGCACAGGTATTCTCCCAGACTTACCATTGCGAGAGATGTCGAGCTCAACAAGTTGCATGAAGTTAGCAACCTCTGGAGGCAGTCTCTGGATCTCATTATCACTAAGTCCCAGCTTCCGTAGGTTTAGCAACCTGAAAAATGGCTACAAGACAAGCAAACAGAATCTTAATTGTTATGGCACAAAGAGAGGTCATTCAGCCAGTCGTGTTTGTGTCAGCTTGCCATCTGTCTAATTCGTTTATTGGCCTTCTTTGCCTTCTGCCTGTAGCAATGCCCATGTGTCAGTTTCAAATCATTGTAATCCCTGATGAACATATCAATTAAACCGACGCGTGCACACACACACACACACAGTGCAATCCAGACCCCAACCTGTGCATACAAATCTTCTCCTCCAATCAGTTTCCTAAATCTTACATCTGCTTCCTTCCTCCTTTTCACCAAACTTTCAACATCTCTTACAGAGTTCCTGAATCTTGCCATCCTTACAGGAATATTCTGGTCCTGAACAAAAACAGAAGTTGCTGGAAAAGCTCAGCAGGTCTGACAGCATCAGAACTGAGGAAGGGTTACTGGACCCGAAACATTAACTCTGATTTTTTTCCTTCACAGACGCTGCCAGACCTGCTGAGCTTTTCCAGCAACTTCTGTTTTTGTTCCTGATTTACAACAACTGCAGTTCTTTCAGTTTTTATTCTGGTCCTGAACTCTGATCAACTGGCCTTTAAAAGTCTCCCATATCTGTGATGTAGATTTTCCCTCAAACAGCTGTCCCCATCTAATTTCTCCAGTCCCTGCCATAAAGTGTTGTAATTTGCGTACCCCCAATTTCGTACTTTCATATGAGAAACAGTCTTACCCTTTTCCATAACTATATTAAAACTTATGCAATTAAAATCACTTCAAAGCTTTTGAAAAGACTTGAGGCTCTGGCTGTGGATGAGGTTGTAGACGTGCTTACCAAGCCGGTATGTTTAATTGCAGACGTTTTGTCACCCTGCTAGGTATCATCATCAGTGTGCCTTCGGTGAAGCGCTGGTGTTCTGTCCCACTTGTTATTTATATGCCTCGGTTTGTCGGGACAGTTGGTATTCCTTCCAGTTCTGCTTTTTCAATGGTTTGTATATCCAGTCCAGTTCAACGCATTTGTTGATGGAGTTCCAGTTGGAATGCCAGGCCTCCAGGAATTCCCTGGCATGTCTCTGTTTGGCTCGTGCTATTATGGATGTGATGTCCCAGTCAAATTTGTGTCCTTTCTTTGTCCGTGTGTACGGAGACCAGGGAGAATTGGTTGTGTCTCCTGGTGGCTAGTTGGTGTTTGTGTATCCTTATTGTCAGTTTTCTTTCAGTTTGGCCTACGTAATGTTTCTCACAGTCCTTGCCTGGTATTTTGTATATTACACTAGTTTTATTGGTTGTGGGTATGGGATCCTTTACATTCGTCAGTCGCTGCCGCAGGGTGCTTGTTGGTTTGTGGGCTACCCTATTACCTAGGGGTCTGAGTAGTCTTGTGGTCATCTCTGATATGTCCCTGAT